TTTACATTCATTTTGACACATTTCAGTGTTGGTTCTTTTAATTCAAGTTGGCCTTCGGTTTTTGGAATTTAAATAAGTTCTCAGCATAAAAAAGTTTGCTTAAAAAAGTCCATATGTTTACATAGTGCTTGAAAATATCCATTTTTCAATTACTTTAAAACTTTAAGCGTGGGCAACGATGATGTTTTGTAATTAAGGCAGAATTGAATATGCGCTATCTGGAAAGATAATACCTGTAACATTTATTCTTGACACTATATCCAAACAAAAACGCGTGTTAAGCAAACAGTGAAACAATTTGTTAATTTCTTAGTTTGGGAATACGACTTCACACTTATATTTAAGTCATTCATAACAAACATTTTATGAAGAAAACCCCCGTTGCGGCCATCTTTAGAAAAAATATATTCATTTAAAATAAAAACAAGCGAAATCGGCCCAATTTTATATAACCTTGCTTGACAGGACAATTTTCTCCGCGATAAGGCTAGTAGCCATTTCTAACAGATTTTGGATCGCTTAGTCAAAAATGGAAACATATATATTTGAGTTTTAAGAAAACAAGGTAAATAGCAAAAACGGCTAATTTTTTTTACAATACGGCTAACAAATCGGCTTCCGGCTAAACCGAAATTTCTCCGGCTGTTTTCTACCGCAACCGGCTAAATCTAGCCGGAAAACGGCTAAAATGGCAACACTGAGTACAAGGTTAGATAATTATTGACAGCCGCCGTTTGACACTCGCTTACAAAAGGTTGCATTTACGAAGGTGGTAGAAACGGGAAATCCCTTGGTGCGAAAATAGTAGTAGAAAAGTACGCAAAGTAGGCAATTCGTAGTGAAATTACTTGTGCAAATTGTGATGTATTTGCCTGTAATTTTGCATTTTTAACGAAATATTGAACGAAATATTAACAAATCTACTTAATTATGTAATATATGTGCTATTTTGTAGTATAAAAGCTACAAGAGGTCCCAAAATTAAAGTCAAACTTCTGAGAATTTCATGTTACTAGTATATTTTGATAATCTTTGTATTTTTTAAATTAAATTTGTTTTTTAAACTACAAGAGGTCCCCAAAATTAAAGTAAAACTTCGGTGAATTTCATGTTAGTAGTATATTTTGAAAATCTTTGTATTTTTTAAATTAAATTTGTTTTTTATAAAAAAAGAAACATAAGCAGCAAGTTAAATTTTAATTTCTTATTTACTAAATGCATTACTCAGATATGTGAGAGGATTATGTAATTCAAGTCCGATACTGATAAAAACTGCAGCTATCTTAAAATTAAAATAAAGCCATGGCAATTTTATGCAATCCAATTAACATACGTGTTTTTTTTTGTATATATTTCTTTACATATATATTATGTATATTTAATATTTGTATTTCCATTTTCTTGTATATATGTACATACATGTAATTATATTTCATTGCATATGTATATGCACTTAGATTTTCTATTAGCTATTATATTATGTGTTTTTAGACTAGTAACTATTGTATTATTGCATTATGTAGCAGTTGTAGTATAGTGGTCAGCTGTGCGTGCTACCATTCCGCAGAGCCTGAGTTCAAACCTGGTTCAACCCAACGTCTAAAAATAAAAAAAAAATAAACAAAAAAGGTTTTTTTTCCTAAACCGGTCGCCCCTCGGCAAACAGTGGCAAACCTCCAAGTGTATTTCTCCAATGTAGAGCAGCATTTTCGTAAAAATACAATCGCCTAGTCGGCGTAAAACTGTAGGTCCCTCCATTTTGTGTGACAATATCAAGGCGGACGACACAAATCAGAGGATTGGCTAAACACTAACGTGTCTGTAAGCGCAAATCTATTATTATATAGTATATTTGCGTGGTGTATATCGCGACTCTGAATCAACGGTGCGTTCTAATTTACCCAGTGGTCTGCTTTGTGTCAGTGGTATAGCAGGTGCTAAAGATAATACGCACATTTAGTATATGCAAATTTTATCGGAAACTTAATGATTGTAATTATTGCAAGCTTACCAGAATGATTATGCAGTGGTATTTGGTGGCATGCAAGAAGGAGTACTTGCGTTATGCTGTGGAGCTTCCGGGACGAGTTCCGGGACGAATTGTGGAGTTTGCGGGGCGAGGAGCTGATCTGCGATGTGGGCATGCTAAAAGTAAATAAACAATAAAAAATATATTTTTTTACGAAATTAATACTAATTTTTTATTTTCTTTTAATGATTTACCTTGATTTAGCGGAACCGGCTTCCTCTGCGTTTTTTGCGCCTTGTTGAGGTTCTTGATTAACTGGTACATACGAGTTTTAAAAAACAATTTTTTTACTTCATCGCTGGCACTAATGTGTTGCGAACATGCGTTGAGCTTACACAAATAGTTTGAGCAAGGCTTTATTTGGTCGCCATTAAACGTCTTGAACACGATCTCCAGGCTTTTGACAACATCCAGAAAATCGCTGGATGGCTTAGTCAAGGCGCCTCTGGAGACTTCGTCAACCCAGGTGTACGTATGCTCCTCTGAAACATGTTGCGTTAAGCCCAGCTTTCTGATAACGAAACCGGCGATGTACTCCAGGGCGTCCTCGTGTAAGGCGCTTATCTTTACGCCTTGCTCGACCTCATTGGGAAACGCTAGCTCATTGGAAAATGCAAATTCTTCGGAAACCACCTCATCATCAGTAAGAAGGCCTTTTAGGTTTTCAACTGATGTGTCACTGAGGCGAAGCCACTCGGTTTCGCCGGTTTCTACATTTCCCCGAGCAGCATAGATTTCCGTGTTACGAGCTAAAATAAGATAATGAGTACATATGTATGTATGTAGATTGAAATCAAATAATTTTGAAAAAATATTACCCAGAAAATATTTCCGTAATATATACTTAAAATGCATCGGACTTGGATTGTCAAAAAGCCCCCCCTTTGCACGCATCGCTCCAAAGAAGTGTTCAACAATATCCTGGTTCAACCTGTACGTCGAATATATCGAAAAGCATATCCCTCCTTTACATACGCATACAAACTTCTGAGAGAACTGTTGCTCAGAAGGACTCCTTTCTGAAAAGGTAACAACGCCCGCCGCCCAATCGCCCTAGTGTGATGCATGCAATCGTCCATGTTCGCTAATACCTGCATTTGCTGTTCTTACTCCATTCCAAAGGGTTTCTTTGTCGGCAGTGACTGGGAATTAGTGAACTTGCGGTTGAAAACGTCGAACCAATCGTTGACCACGGATATGAATTCGGCCGTTTCTAAAGCGGCCAATGCATAATACCGTCTAATAGCGCTTGCCGTATTATGGGAGAACAGTTGGACAGCCAGCTTTACCTTTTGCCGTCCTGCGTGGTGAACAGTGAGGTGTGCTTCCTTTAATTTGTAGGCAATTGATGCATCCGACACCGAAGTCAAAGCGAGCAACTGAGCAATTGTTTGCGGTGTTATTGAATTTCCTTTGACCACATAACCTGTGTCAAGGAAATGGTTCCGAAGCAATTTTGGAAGATGCGGTACGTCCGCAAAGACAAAAATCTTCCCGTTGATAGCGGAATTCGGAAACCAGGTTTGCTCTAAAAATAATTATAATATAACAAACTATGGTAAGCTACATACACAGTTTCCTACCACAGCTGACATTCAGTTCCTTCCACAGGGACTGATTCCCTGGGCCCATATCACGGTGTATCCTACTTCTTGCAATTTGACTACAAGATTATCCAAAATCGATTTGGTCATCTTGCAGTCATAGGCGCAGAACACCGGTTGCTTCCACGAGGCCTTCAGTCAGAAGAAATCAGAAAGAAATGTGTTCAGAAGAAATGTCTTCTCATGCCCAATGGACTTTCTTATCTGGATCACGCAATTGCGTACCGTAAAAATGGACGGAGCAGACTTATCCAATTTCTCCAGCTCCTTAACCCGCGCTTTCAAGTTTGCTGCTTCTATCTCGAGCAATTCAACTTGACAATCTTTTGTTCTAAAGCAAAAAAGTTAGTATATCTAAATTTTGCAGTTACATTTATATTTACTCTGTTTGGGTTGCAATATCGATAAAATTGGAAGAAGTTTCTTCCCAATCGCAAAGGCTCTCAATGGCTACCGGTAAGGCATTGTCTAATAACCTCACCCGTTTACGATCGGAACCTGACATAAAATCGGCCGATAAGAAATGATGGGAACACAACTTCGCTGCAGGACTTAGCTGGACTCCGCAAGAGTCAGACCATTTTTTTCTTTTTAAATCATTTTGTGGGACATGGAACATCTTGACTCCTTCTTGAGTCCATATCTTTCGACACAAAACGCAGCTTGCTTTCGGCATTTTGAATCAACTGTATTAACAACAAAATTTAATTAGCATATATGGTTCTAAACCCTACTCTCGAAACTGGCACTTAATTAAAAAAAATTCCAAGGAGCAGCAGTTATTTTTATTTACCTTTATTAAATTAAAATAATTTAATTATTAATAATTAACAATTTAAACAAAATAATTTAATTACTTATTAATAATTAACCATTTAAACAAAAGAATTTAATTACTTATTAATAATTAGCCATTTAATCTTACTTATTCTTATTTATTATTATTAATTAAACATTTAATCAAAGTAAATGTATTTAATTAAAAGAAATTAATTGTCAAATGAATTACATAATAACTTTCATTTCATTATTAATTTGTATATTTCACTAACTTTAACTAGCCCTTAAATTATATGCACACCTATACGTACATTTCATATAAAAACTTCTAAGCAACGTTAATATGTACAAGTCGTTACCTAAAGGTGAAAAGATGCCAAGACCATTTTTTTGAAATTGTTCAGGAGACGAAAACTCGATGTGGTTTCGCATTATCTGTTATTCTGCACCAAAAGCTATATTTTGAAAAAAGTGGACTTGGCAGCTTTTCGCCTTTAGGTAGCGCACTTGTGAATAGTATTCCCACATTGGGGAAAAAAAATTGAAGATGATATTTCTACTTAAGGATTTAGTTTGATATAACTTAGAATAAATCTGTACCCGTCAGTTAGCTTAAGCTGAGATAGGCCATTTTCCCTTTAAAGTAATTAATTAATCTTATTATAGGTATATCTCTTATCTTATCATCTCTTAATTAAATGTTAAACCCTCTAAATTCACTTAAGCTAATTTAACTGACGGGCACAGAAATGTACCAAATATGACTGAGCCAATAAATAGCAGCTAAATCCGTCAAATTACTTTACTTTAACCCCACTGAAATTAGTAACGCTTAAATTAAAAAATTTATTATAATTTGGAAATATCATCTTATGAATAGGAACTGCTGAAATAACTTATTTTAACTTACATACAAAACACCGTAAACGGAGAAGCTGTGGTTATACGTGTGTGTCCACAGATGCAAAAGATGCGCCTATGAGGCTGGAAAAATAAGCACAAGGAAACCTGCAAAGAAAAAGGTTAACTTGTTAGTTTGTTTACTAATAGCCACTTGTTTTAGTTTAACTTACGTGTGTGTGTGTGTAACTTGGAACGCAGTGTCCACAGATGCAAAAGATCCGCCCCTATGAAGCTGAAAAAATGCAGAACAAAGAAACCTACAAAGAAAAAGTTCACTTGTTAGTTTATTTACTAATAGCCACTTGTATTAGTTTAACTTACGTGTGTGTGTGGAAGGCAGTGTGCACAAAAGCGAATTGGTGTCGTTGCTCTTGGCAGGAAAAATGAACTTTTGGGGTAGCGCTGGACTCGAATTGAAGGCACAAAGAAAACTGTAAAGAAAAAAGGTCACTGGTTAAATTTCCACTTTATAGTCACTTGTTTAAAGCCCCGGATAAGGTTTTCTGGAAAGAGATTACAGATTTAATTAAATAAAAGTGGAATCGGTACATGACCAAGTGCCCCCCGACCAGAAAACACAATTGGTGAAATACTACCTCACGGTGGGCCGCAAATTGTATGCGCTGCGCTTAATTATGCAGCAAATTAGGTATATTAGATATTAGTAATTAGAAACTTTAACTATATTTAGGAATAACTCTGAATTATTGGAATAATTTCACGCAATCTGAAAAATCAACCGACAGCGAATATGAAGAAAGCAGAGAGCAATAATGGCAGCAGTGATGCCAACGCAGTTAATTTTCAACAGAAATTTACCTGATAGTACTTTTTTATACGTAAAACTACTATTTTTTAAATTCATTTTCAAAAGAAGCAACACCGTGCCCGGCCTAAGGGAGCGGTGCGAGAGGGACAACTGTCAGTTTATGGAACCTTNTATCTTTACTTTGCCTAGATCAGCTGTGTGTCCACTTGTCAATATGTGTTGCGCTTACGCAGTGTTGTTCTTTTTTTACGAATGTCCGCTTCGTGCTCACTTACGCGAACTCCTAACGCCCTTTTCGTGGTACCGATATATATTTTATTGCAAACTTCGTTCTCGCTTCCCTTGCATGCAATTTCGTACACTACGTTATTTTGTTGGTATGGCTCTACTATTGTTTTTGTTTTGGTAAATATTGATGCTAATGTGCGGTTTGATTTATAAGCTAGCGTTGTGCTTTCGTTGTTTGTATACTTCTTATGGCTAAATCTTTCGCTTAATTTTGGCACATATGTGATTAACGCTAGAAAGCCTGCGAATCTTACAAAACAGGGATAAAACAATGAACAGAAAAGAAGACACAGATGATATCGCGGCTGCTTACCTATTATGTTTGTAACAGGCAGTCAGTATGACGAGTGTACCACACAAGGATGGTATCAAACCAACTAGCTCTAGTTTACTGTGACCAGATAAATGTATCGTGATTATAGTTAATAAGTGTTTATATAAATGTATGTAAGTTTCGAAATTGTCAAACACTGTGATTTTTATTATTGTTTGTAAAATGTTAACATCCAATGTGCATATTTTAATGTTTTGTATATTTTTCTTGATACTTTTGTCGATGTTTTGATAAAGAAATCGCCCCTGAGAAAGCTAAGAAAGTTAGCGAAACGTCGGGCTGCAATGCATATATGTAATACTTCTATACTGCTAGTACATTTAAAGTACATTTCCCAACATCAGAGTTCCGAAATATTGAAAAAAAAGAGAGATCCGATAAGAGAATGTACTCAAAATCATGATAAAAACATAGTAAGGTAAAACAGTTCACTCAATTCATCATTCNACAATGAACAGAAAAGAAGACACAGATGATATCGCGGCTGCTTACCTATTATGTTTGTAACAGGCAGTCAGTATGACGAGTGTACCACACAAGGATGGTATCAAACCAACTAGCTCTAGTTTACTGTGACCAGATAAATGTATCGTGATTATAGTTAATAAGTGTTTATATAAATGTATGTAAGTTTCGAAATTGTCAAACACTGTGATTTTTATTATTGTTTGTAAAATGTTAACATCCAATGTGCATATTTTAATGTTTTGTATATTTTTCTTGATACTTTTGTCGATGTTTTGATAAAGAAATCGCCCCTGAGAAAGCTAAGAAAGTTAGCGAAACGTCGGGCTGCAATGCATATATGTAATACTTCTATACTGCTAGTACATTTAAAGTACATTTCCCAACATCAGAGTTCCGAAATATTGAAAAAAAAAGAGAGAATCGATAAGAGAATGTACTCAAAATTATGATAAAAACATAGTAAGGTAAAACAGTTCACTCAATTCATCGGCCATGNTAAAAACATAGTAAGGTAAAACAGTTCACTCAATTCATCATTCATTTTTTTTTGAAGTTTGCCAATATTTTAAACTCATATAAAATTGAGAGTAAAAAGAAGGAATTGTTCAAAGTTGTTGTTGTTTGAGATTGAAAATGAGAATGTGTGCGTGAGTTTGTGTGTAAAATTTTAAAATTAAATTGCTTGCAAACGTCAAGAATTTGAAAAATTCCTCTCAGCGGTTCTACCTTACTATTTTTTTATCATGCTCAAAATGACAATTTTACTTTTCAAAATTCAGGAGCGGTTTCACAAATTTTTATTTAAAAACAACTCTTATGAAAAGTTAACAAAAAATAAAATTTTTGTAAACCTATGAGAAGCGCTTGGCCGTTGGTGGTGGCAGAGGATAAAAATACCAGTTAGAGAAGGACTTGGCATCAGTTGGCATTTCCAATTGGCGTCAATCAGCATATAAGGGAATCGAATAACGTGCTTTATTGGATTCGGCCAACATATAAAATACCACACCGCTTTATGTGTAAATAAGTTTTGTCTTTGTTAGGAAAAGATCTTCTATCTTCCAAATTTTCAGATTTCCAAATAACGAGGAGCATTGGAGAAATTCGTCATACCGAGCCCTAACCGCTAAAATAATGTATATATATATATTTTTTTTAATTTAATTTTTGATGCAGGTGCTCTAAGAGGCATTTATGCATTAAAATTAAATTTTGAAAAAAGTTGTCTTACTTACTTACTAAGGTTCGATATACATTTCAGCGTGAAGGAAACATGAGACCGTCAAATTTGTGTTTGTTTGTTGAATTCCATGAACCGGCCCTGTTATGATATGGCACTTCATTCTATGTACATAGAATGTACTACGTAGTAGTTTACAAATATACACGTATACTTCTACAATCATAAAAATTTTGATAGGCTGTCTTTCTTTGATTTCGAATGGAAAACTCATTGCGATCATATTGGACTAGCAATATAGAAGTATTACATATATGCTGCAATGTGAAGAAAGTTTTTTCTTGCACTCAACCACATTAGGTCAATTAGCCTAGAATCCAAAAAGTTTAATTAACCGGAATTGACCATCAACTCATAATCTTAAAATGATGCCATCAACACAAATAAACTATTTTACAAATACGCCGAATGCAAATTCTTTAGTGAGCGGAACATGTGAGGAGCTTATGGTGAAGAGAATATAAGTAACGATATCGCTCGGAGTGCCCTTAAAAAATATAGCTCGTCAGAGCGAGAGAGTACTTTGATGGCTTTACCAGCTCTGTTTTCNTGAAGAGAATATAAGTAACGATATCGCTCGGAGTGCCCTTAAAAAATATAACTCGTCAGAGCGAGAGAGTACTTTGATGGCTTTACCAGCTCTGTTTTCTTAAACTTGAAAGTGTGTAATCACATTATTTTAATAAATAGAACACAAGAAAATATTTTGTTTTTATTTTTGCCACTCCGAATTCAGCATGGAACTCACCCGCGATGCAAATTTACATCGTTTGATCTAATCTTCACATTTGTTGACGAGCTTTGCGAATATGTTAGGAATTAGCAGCTGGGGCCCACCGAAACCATTAGAGTTTTGAAAGGGGTCTACGAGAAAAAAAGTTTGGAGACCTCTGGTGTACGGCTATCAATAAGTCTTAGTGCTATGGGGCGTATACTTTACATTCAAAATAAAGGGCATGTACTACATATTACAGTTGGATTTTTTAGTTCACTTTAATGATTAGTAAACTTCTAGTTCTTTCAGCTCAATGAGTCTTAGTTCGTTCACCTTATTGAACTGTATTTCACCTAATTGAACTAGTTCGGTAATAAGAGCTGAGTTACAGAACAACAACAATGCATGCTTTATTAACCGACTTCCAAAAAAGGAGGAGGTTATCAGTTCGTCGGAATATTTTTTTATTTTTTTTATTTTTTTTTATATATGTTACCGAATACCTTTGGACCACGTTACCCGATTTCGATAATTTTTGCATCGGAAAGGTAGTATCTCAGACGTAGTCCCATACTAATCTGGTTAAGATCCGATCAGCGGATCATGAGATATATATATATATTTTTTTTTTATATGAGAGTTGAAGTCGGTTTTTTTTTTGCTAAAAATTACTTGTAACACATACGTACATACTAGGAATGTTAATCCCGGGATCACGGCCTTTTTTTTGGTCCCGAAAATTCCGGGATTCTTGGCAAATAATCCCGGGATTTTCGTGATTTGTAATTTGC